TATTATGTCTGTCATTAATGTTAAATCACCCATTATAACAATTTGCTTTCCTTTTTCTCTTCTCTTAACTGAATAACCCTGTCTTTAAGTATAATACAATGAAAAGTCCTTTTCCTGCACCATTTGAAGGCTTCAAAACAGGCATTTTTACTGTATGTGTTTGGAGAAATGACACAATCAATGGCCCAGAATTGTACTTTATAAACTATGAATCTTGTGGTGCTTGAAGAAATTCACACTGGCTAAGCCGGACAGGTTATATATGCCTCTTTTGGAGCCCTTTTTTGCAACATTTATTAAAACGTCACTAGTTATTTAAACAAACCACTATCTGAGGATAATGCAAGCAACCATACAACGCCCTTTATCTAGAGAGCCATTGAAGTCCATCAATAATTTATCCTTCCACACATCTTTTCAACTGCTGTAAGTTAGGGCACTGTTTGTGCAGAACATTTAAAATATTCTTCATTTGCAGTATTTTTTTAAAAAAGTGTTCAGAAAGACTGCATCAATTATATGCTATATATATATATATATATATAATAATATCAATATTTGTATTAACTAACCAAAGTCAATTTAAATAGCGGGCAAAAATGGGTTAATTGCCATGCATGTGGTGTTTGATATAGTTTACGTTCAATTTCAACTATTTTAGGCAGAAAAACGTATATTGATCAAACCTTTTTTAATAGTTTACTATAATTTAGAAAGTTTTTTGTGAGAAATCATTTCAAAAGTAAACTGACCGAATGGAAGAATCTGCGAGGAATTAACTAGGAGCAGAGAAATAATCATATATTAAAAGACAGCAGCATCATAAGAGGCCAACAAGAGTGAAAGAGTGTATCAGTGTGCAGTCTACCATCCTCTTAAAATACTCTGTCCAACAATATCAGTCTCATGAAGAAATGTTTTTTAACGCTTATTCAAAATAGCAGAAAAACATGCATTCTTGTTCTCAGGAGGGGACATTGACAAAGGATTACTGGAAAAGTACACAGTAAGTACTTCATACTTGTTGTGGGGGTAATTTCAGTAGTACCGAGTCCAACAGGATCAATCTCACGAAGAACTAATGGCAACAAAAAAGAATTCCCTCATCAAACTTAGCAGAAGTGGCTTCATTTTGTTCTCAGCAGGGGACTTTGACAGAGTATTTCTCAATAAATACAAATTAAAAGTACTTCAATGTATTGTAAGTAGTAGGCTAATACAAAGTCAAACAGTATCAATTTCATTAAGAACTAGCCTAATGGTGAAATTATATTTTTATCATTCATCAAATATTGCAGAAAAACATGGAAAACTATGGAGGGGACTTTGACAGAGGATTACTCACAAAGTAGGCTACACAGTAAAAGTTCTTCATTTTATTTCTGGTAGAAGTCAAACTAGCACCGAGTCCAACAGTGTCAGTTTCCTTAAGAAGTTGTGGTAACAAATATTTGTATCACTCGTCAAATATAGCAGGAATAATGAAGAGCAGCTGATTTGAAAAAACAAACGCGAGAGACGGCTGAGTGACCGCAGTGCAGAACCGCTGTATAGTTTAAATCTCCTAACAATGTTGTCCATTTTAGACAGAGGCCTATTATATTTACAGCCCTTAATAACATTAATTTTCTGGGCTCAATATGTGTCTTGGCCGGCCGTTTTCGTTGTGATCGCTAAATTCCCCCTGTTTATAATAATCACGGGTCCTTCAGCAGGATACTGTAGTGATTCAAAGTGTGATTTTAGCTAACGAGTGCTTTTGTTTTGAAATCACTTCCGTGAGTTTTGCCCCGCCCCTCGCTCCAAGGACCATTTGACCATTTAGTAAGGTAAAAAGCAAAAAGGCCTCTCAGACGCTCTTCCGTTTACGTGTTTAATAAAGAAAAACAATTGGACGGTAGATACACGGATTATTTACTTACCTTTTTAACACTAAGATTACTGGCAACTTAATGTTAAAGATATGTTAAAGATATTAAGATGCAGTTTGTTTTTATTGAAAATAATGATCTGAAACATCAACATGGAAAAAGCATTAGAAAATGTAAACGCTTTAACATAAATGTATGTGTCAACAACATTCTTTATGTCGGGAAACTTTCAATACATACTTATTTTCTATATTTTCAAATTGGCCTGATGAAATCCCTGAAAAGTGATGGACCCATATAATCAAGCAAGCAGAGATTGAAATCGTCCGAGGAATGACAGAACGTCAGGAAGGGAGAGCTGCCTTATATTATGGGTTGTTGTGTTTATATAAGACAGATTTGAAACTGTAGGGACCTTCAGGACAATGCGGCACCTTGCTCTGTGTGAACACCTCTGCTCTGTAGATAAGGCTTATCTGTCTATGTGTTGTAATGCAGCTCTCTGCAAACACTGGAGATTTTTAATCCAGCACAGTAAGAGCAGCAGGAGAGAATGGGAGAAATTGAGGAGAGGAGCGAAAGAGGCACAGGGGAAAGTCCGGAAAGGTCAGTGGCTGTTCATGAAAAGTCAGTAAAAATACTTAAGAGGATACTATCAAATATCTTCTTGAATGCTACATGTGATTTCATAGGAAGGTGTGTGATCAGTTGTTGTTGTGTTGCTGCAGGATGATGCCGTACCACCGAGCTCTGCCAGCAGAACCAAAGAGCAAGCTTTACCTGGGCTGTCTGAACAAACCTCAGCTGATCCTGATCTCTGTGGCTGCTGGACTCGTCCCCCTGATCATAATCATTACTGTCGCAGCTGTGCTCGCCACAAAGTCAGGTACAAATAGCAGTTTGGCCAGGATTCATAAGAGCTGATACTGCCATTTAGTCAGAAAAACATGTCTAAGTCACAAAAACCCAGACGTGTTGCTTATCAACGTGTACAAGCATTAGACACAATCATTCCTAATGTAGTCATGTAGTAGTGAGAGTAATAATGTGCTGTGTGTCTGACCCAGTCCTGGTTGTTTGTAAGAAGAGCCTCCAGAATATTCCTAATCATCTCACACTTCCTTCAGTACTGATCAGATCTTATTTACATACTTATAGTGAAGTAATCTGTTGTCGTGTTTACTTACAATCACTTATGAGACATGTAATTGTTTCCTTACTGTGGCAGCATAATGCATTCCATTGAGAATATACATATTATTGTTTATCTGAAATAACAGCATATTTATTTAATAATTCTTATTGTAATTGTTTTATTAGGAAAGATGAAATATTGGCTGTGGTTTTACTGAATGTATATGCAGCAAAGTCCCAAGAGGACTTGTCATTTACTCTATAATGATTTGGTAACTTTCAATGACAAGCAACTATAAAACAAGATAAAAACACAACATTAATATAGAAGCAAACAAACAGAGTGATACATTTTGTGAGAGATAACAAATACTTAAAAGATTTAATTTGTGGATCATAGTCTAATAAAGTGTCTAATAATCTTGTCAATTCAGAAAAACATTGTTTTCTCAAGTGAATGCGAAGGTTTTTCTCACTAACTGTGTCTGTAAAGATATTATACTTATAGGAGACAACTGCTGGGAAATGCAACGGTCTATTGTAGCAGTATTAGAATGAGACTGAATGATGACAGCAGAGAGGGGCCATACAGTATCTGTGTTTAAACTGTATGACTTTATATTGTGTGGAGGATGACGTAGTGAGGACCCAAACAGCAGCTGTGTGCTCAGAATAACTTTATAATGCCACAAAGCTTTATTTGATTATGACGGTCAAAGTTCTTTTGATATACAGGCTGTGAACATTAATGACATCATGCACCAAACTTATATTTATAGCCTTATTTATATTAGATTTATATCCCAGGAATCAGATTCATTTATTCACATATAGAATTGTACAGCAAATGGACAGTGTAGACAAAAGTTAAAAAGTAACATTTAAATGGAGAGGCAAGCTCACGTTAATACAGAAAATAAAATAAGTACACATCCACGGAACAAAAAGTGTTTATAGCGCACAGTCATCTCTACAACAGCAGTGTAATCGAGTGGCAGCCAGTAATACCAACATATAACGCAGAGGTGGCAGCAAGTTATATCAAAAACATAAATAAATTGAGGTGAGGGTCTGACAAAAGATGCTATTGGCTGGTAATCAGAAATGTAGTATCCACAGTCGTATAACTTGACCCCTGCTTGGAGCTCAAGGCCAGGACATCTTGACCTCTGATCTGCAGTTCGGAAGTCATTTTTAATTCAATTGGATGAAATTTGACTAAGGGACAAAAGTAAGAACTGAAGTACTCTCTGGATAGACAAAGTTCAATTACGTAAGACCCTCCCCCACTCACCTAAAACAACATTAAGCAAAAAGAAGGAATACATAATCCCCCTTTTCTCCTCTTTGTATAAATGATGTTAAGTTTAAGGGCCTGTGTTTGTCTTTATATCCAATCAGATTCCTCTACTGCTCTTCCCTCGTTTTCTACTGGTGGAGACATGCTGGACTTCCTGGTTCAGTCAGGTGATATCAGCTCTCCTGACGGCTTGATGGCTACCTGGTACCACAGAGCTAACAGCAAGGAGGAAATGAACAAAGCCCTCACAAGTAAACTCACACACTCAGTTTTTTCAGTGCATACAGTACCATACACTGGCCCATCCGCACGGCTGGCGTGCGTTGAAGCTTCAACGCTTCTTCCCATTCACTTTGAATGGGGTGACGTCACGCTTTGCCGAACTGCATTGTGGTCGCGTCGCTTCGCTTTGCTCGCGTTGCTCGCTTCAAAAGTTGAGCAATGTTCAACTTTTGAAGCTTCGACTGAAGCGTCGGCCAATCAAATCATATGCCAGTACAAGCTCTAGCCAATCAAACCGCGTGCTTGTGTGTCCGGGGCGGGAGATTCATGTGATTGGTTGTTGGTCGAGTTTCAGACACGCCCACCAGCATAAACGCACGCCGCCATGTGGACGCTGCGTTAGCCTACAGGACAAGATATGGATTACATTTGTAATCAATTAGTATTGACTAATTGTGCCAGGCAGCAAATTTGATTACCTTGTGACTGACAGGTGGTTACAAAGGTGATGTATGGTCTGGGTGTGAGTTGGACCAAACACATTGGCCAAAAGAAATCCTATAACCCATGGACTATTGTTTGACAACAATAAAGCTTTTTATTAGTTAAAGATTAGCTTGTCCATTATTGAAATGTTATCTCTTGTCTCTACACCATTTATGCATTTCAATTTGCTAATCCGACTACAAACAATCCAAAAGGAAGTCTTGTTTCTTATCATTGAAACCCCAAAATATTGGCCCTTGCCCCCTGAGGCTAAATCCACTTCAGACAGATAGCCAACAGAAGACTTTTACATACTGTAGCAACATAATGCTAAATTTAACACATGATTTGTCTACACTGTCCCCTCCTCTCGTCCTATCAGGTGATGCTATGATCCTGGAGGCTGACATCACTCTGGAGGGTTATGGAACAGCCAATGAGAATCCAATCCCCATCATGGCCCACCCTCCTGACATCTATAGTGACAACACTCTGGACCAATGGATGGATGCAGTGCTGGCCTCTAGAAAAGGTACTCAGTAGAACACATGGGCCTTTACAGTATGTGTCCATCCCACAGGTGTTAGCGCTCTGTGTCCCTGCAGGCATGAAGTTGGATTTTAAGACTCTGAGATCAGTGGGTTTGTCATTGGACCTGCTCAGTCAAAAGTCAAAGAACAGTAGCAGAGGGATCAACCGGCCCGTATGGGTGAATGCAGACATCCTCCTGGGTCCCAACGCACCAGCCTTCCTGCCTACAGTCAATGGAACCAGGTGAACAAGCTGATTTGATGTTGTCTGTCCGTCAGTCTTTGCTGTTCAGAGCTTGTATTGTACATGTATTTCGCACATTATTGCTACATTTGATATACTAACTGACAAAGATATCTTTAGATTTAGATTTTCATAAGCGATCTGGGGAGATGTGGAATATGCCACAGCAAATAATAGGATGATTATAGAATTTTAAGAAAAAGGTATAAGTGACATACAGTACAACATTAACTACAACATTTTTATAATACTGGGGTAGACAACCTATTTTTGGCATCATTGGGCAAATTGTGACAAACAGAATATTGTTATTCAAGTGATCTGAGAGTAAATCAGAGCTCTGCACCTCCTGTTGGCTCGGTTTCAGGCTTTATCCTCTAATTTCAACAATCTTTGTAGATCCATCTTTTTCAGATATGTTTTTATGGATTCTCTCAATGTTGGTATTTGATAATGCTTATAGCACTGCGATGGTCTAAGACGTACAGTATAGGCTACATTCTGTACTTTGTAATAATGGTGATATTGTCAGGATTTAGCAAGAAGTTGGACCCGGGTGCAGTTAAGAAATGAGATGGCAAAAAAGCTGATAATAATAAAAAAACAACGCCAAACCGACTAGAAGAAGAAGAAGATTCAACTTATTGTCATTACGTAGTACAGGAACTATGTAACAAAATGGTTTCTCTGCATTTGACCCATCCTAG